GCAACAGTGGGAGGGCTTCTGAAGTTGGTGACCAGGATGGACCATTGGCCTGATCCAACATGGCTTCTCTCATGTTCTTACATCTGGGGCAGTGATGCGCTGTACTCTTGGTGCTTGGGGGACAACAGTGGGATGGCTTTTGGAGTTCTGGTCCCACTGGTGGACCTCCCGATAGAACCTGGGCTTTGACCACCGTGTGACACAGAGTGTTGGACTGGATGGACCATTGGCCTGATCCAACACGGCTTCTCTCATGTTCTTATGTCTGGAGCAGTGATGCTGTGTATTCTTGGTGCTTGGGGGGCAACAGTGGAAGGGCTTCTGAAGTTGGTGGACCTCCTGATGGCACTTGGGTTTTGGCCAGTGTGTGACACAGAGTGTTGGATTGTGCTGGCCACTGGCCTGATCTAACATGTCTTCTTTTACATTCTTATGTTCTTAACCATAATTAGAAGCTTTAAAAAAAGAAGGAAAAACGTTCAAATCCAAGCATCCTTAATTGTGACAGTCTGATGAATGTTCACAGATCAGAAGTAAGGTCTGCCCGCTGGATCCCACTTCCTGACTCCGCGTGCGAATTCAACAAATTCAGACTGAATATCCGAAAAGAGCTCACCCGGCCCCAATACAAGCCCTCCGTTCAAAACCGTGAACTGGCTGTCCAGGGTCACATGCCACACATATTGCACGGACAGAATCCCGTAAGTTAATTATACGTTTTGTGAACAAGCACTTCCTTTGTCTGCCTGGGACTTTCTGCCAATCAGTTACACTGGAGGACTCTCTAGGGTCCGTGAGAGTGAATCATTTTTCTCTCATCACTCCTGTCACATCATCCATAATATTCAACACCTCCACCTTGTCTCCCTTTAATCATCTTCTTTTTTCTAACCTAGAGAACCCTGACTTCTTATCCCTCTCTCAAGAAAGATGATGCTTTCGCCTCCTGATTTTAAGAGACAATCTTGTGTGGTCTTGTTTTTTTCTATTCAAAGCACGGAGTTGGCAAGTGTTTTTGCCCAAATAGTATCTTTTTTTGCAAGGACATCACATCTATCAATCAAAGGGCTGCATTGTTGAACACTGCAGACAGGGCGAGCATATGCAGTGATAAATGTTTGCACACCCTCTGAAGGTGTAGTATGTATTGTTTGTTTGTTTGTTGTTGTTGTTCAGTCGGACAGTCGAGTCCGACGCTTCGTGACCCCATGGACCACATCATGCCAGGCCCTCCTGTCCTCTGTCATCCTCCGGAGTTTGCTCAACTTCATATTCCCTTTGTCGTCCCCTTTTTCTTTTACCTTGTACCTTGTACATGTACTAGTACCATAAGTCCTACTGTTCTTACATATGTTGACTCTCACCCTGCTGGATGCTTTGAATCTTGTCCTGCTGCTTCATGCCCAATGTAACTTCTAAACTTGACTACTGCAACGAGCTCTACATGGGGCTGCCCTTGAAGATAATTGAGATGTTCCAAATGGTTTAGAATGCAACTATGTGCCTCCTGTCACGAAAGGGAGTGATGTTTGGTGTAGTGGTTAGGACTCTAACCTGGGAGAACCGTGTTTGATTCCCCACTCCTCCACTTGCAGCTGCTTGCATGACCTTGGGTCAGTCACAGTTCTCTCAGAGCTGTTCTGAAAAGCGCAGTTCTCTCAGAGCGCTCTCAGCCCCACCTCCCTCCTCATGGGGTGTCTATGGTGGGGAGAGAAAGGAAAAAGAGACTGTAAGCCGCTCTGAGACTCCAAGTGAAGGGCAGGGTATAAATCCAATCTCCGCCTCCTCCTCCTTCTATCAACCTGGACTGCCTTGATTACATTGGTTGGCAGTTCTCTTCTGAATTTGATTCAAGGTGCTGGTTTTAAACTTTTTGAATGGGAACCAAGTATTCAGAGGACTGCGTATGAGCCAGTGCATCCATTAAAATCATTACCCCAGGCCCTGCTTGCTGTGACATCAAGGCATTGAGTAAGAATGGCAGTGTCCATCACCAGGGATTGCCACTGACCGCCAGAAACTCTTTCCAGAATCATAGAGTCGGAAGGGACCTCCAGGGTCATCTAGTCCAACCCCCTGCACAAGGCAGGAAATTCACAAAGACCTCCCCCCCCCCAATCAATGATTGCTGTTCCACGCTCAGAAGATGACAAGAAACCTCCAGGATCCCCGGCCAAACTGGCCTGGAGAAAAATGGCTCCCATCCTGACCCCAAAGTGGCAATCAGCATTTCCCTGGGTGTGTAAGAAAGGGCCACGAGAACTAAGCACTGAGGCAACCCTTCCTGCCCTCCCTCTCGTGATCTGCCTAAATTGACAGAATCCGCATTGCTGTCCGGTGGCCATCTGGCCTCTGTTTGGAAACCTCCAAAGATGGAGAGCCCACCACCACCCAAAGAAGCCCGTTCCACTGGGGAACCACAGGAGAACCATATAAAAAGTTATCTTCTCCATAATTTCAAGCAGGGATTAAAACATAGGAACACAGATCTGCAAGGGACCTCAAGGGTCATCTATTCCAACCAACAAGGCAGGAAATTCAGAACGAAGCACTCTTTCTCAAGTAGACATTCAATTGAACCTCCCGAAGCTGCTTCCTGGTGAGTCAGACTGTCGGTCGATTGATCTGAGCAGTGACTGTTCTGGCCGGTAGCAGCTCTCCAGGCTCTTGTGCAGAGGAAAGCCTTCCTCGGTTCCTTTTCTTTGGGAACCTTTAATTAGGGATGTCAAGGACCAAACCTGGGACCTTCTACATGCAAAGCAGATGATCTGCCAGCCAGCCACAATAAAGCAGCAGTGCTTTACCCAAGACTGCAGGCTTGTTATAGTGGCAACACTTTTGTTGTTGTCGTCAAGTCACAGCCAACTCATAGCTTGTCTGTAAGGTTTTCAAGGCAAGAGATGTTCACAGTTGGTTTGCATTGCCTGCCTCTGCGTAGCAACCCTGGACTTCCTTGGTGGTCTCCTATCCAAATACTAAATGCTTAGCTTCTGAGAACTGATGAGATCGGGCTCACGTGGTCTATCCAGGTCAGGGCAGATGAACTCCTCCACTTGCACCTGCTGGCTGACCTTCGACAAGCCATAGTTCTGGCACAGCTGTTCTTGTAAAAGAGCAGTTTCTGCGAGAGCTCTCTCAGCCCCACCTACCTCACAGGGTGTCTGTTGTGGGGAGGGGAAGGAGTTTGTAAGCTGTTCTGAGACTCCTTTGGGTAGTGAAAGGCGGGGTATAAATCCAATCTCTCCTTCTTCTAAGCCAGTTTGGTGTAGTGGTTAGGAGCGCGGACTCTAATCTGGGAGAACCGGGTTTGATTTCCGACTCCTCCACATGCAGCTGCTGGTGTGACCTTGGGTCGGTTACAAGTTCTCTCAGAGCTGTTCTCTCAAGGGCAGTAGAGCTCTCTCAGCCCCACCTACCTCACAGGGTGTCTGTTGTGGGGAGGGGAAGGAGTTTGTAAGCTGTTCTGAGACTCCTTTGGGTAGTGAAAGGCGGGGTATAAATCCAATCTCTTCGTCTCTTCTTCTCTTCCTTCATTTGTTTTTAATTTGTGAACTAGACATGATGTTTGTGCCATATACTGATTCTGGCCATGTCTGGTTGTACTTTCATAATTTTTTTGGGGAAAAGAGGATTAGGTGCTTGCTAGGGCAGCAGCGCTGAGTTTTTCTGCCCGCTTTGAAATGTTCTACTTATCATTACTTTATTATTTATTGAATTTATAACCCGCTCTCCTCGGAAACCATGTTCAGAGTGGAGAACATTATTTGCAAAACATTCCGTTCATAAAACTGGTACATAGTTGCAATAAAATACAATATTAAACATAATAGGGACGCCAGACCTGGGTTGGGAAGTACCTGGAGATTTTGGGGGCGGAGCCTAAAGAGGGTGGGGTTTGGGAAGCGGAGGAACTTCAATGAGGTATAATGCCAGAGCGTAGTCACCAAGACTTGTAAAGAAAAAGCTTCCTATGTATTATAATCTAAAGCATTGCAACATCATTAATAAATCATAAGAAAATCCTCGTTCATGGGTACATAATCAACGTCGTCTCCGGATTATATAACAACGTTTCAAAATCGGATCTTCCTCAGGAGATATTAGGAGCTGCGGTGGCTCAAGTGGTTAAGACGCTGAACTGCAGGCTGTGGAAGGTCGGTAGTTCAGCAGTTTGAGACCCGAGTGTGCCGCATGACGGAGTGAGCTCCCGTCTCCAGTTCCAGCTCCTGCCAACCTACCCTGTTTCCCTGAAAATAAGACCTACCCCCAAAATAAGCCCTAGCAGGATTTCTATGCATTTGCGGTATAAGCCCTAGTGTGTCTTCTTGAGAAAAAATAAATACAAGACAGTGTCTTATTTTTGGGAAAACATGGTAGCAGTTCAAAAGCAAGAAATTGCAAGTAGATAAACAGGTACCGCTTCGGTGGGAAGGTAACAGCGTTCCGTGCGCCTTGGTGTTTAGTCATGCCGGCCACATGACCACGGAAACGTCTTTGGACAGCGCTGGCTCTTCGGCTTGGAAACGGAGATGAGCACCGCAACCCTAGAGTTGGACTCAACTGGCTTTCGAGCAAGGGAGACCTTTACTTTTACCTTTTACAGATTAGAGTAGTACAAAAGCTCTCTGTGTTCATGAAGTGCTTGAAAACACGCCCGGGATCCATTTAGAAGCATAGCAGCGTATTTGAGCCTGAACATTTATCGAGACCAGCGTCTTATCTGAATGTAGCAAACTAGCTCCATCCAGTTTAGACAGAGCGCTAGAAGCCCTGAGCCTGCCCTTCCTCTTTGTACGGCGCTCTCTGACGATAAAGAACTTCTGCTTCTTGTCTGAGTAACAAACCTCCGCGGGCTCTCATTCCCCGAGCAGCCAGAAGGTAGAATTCCGCTGTGCAGAGACTCCACCGGGCTTTCGAGTTGGAGGAGAAAATGCCAGGCTAGACGGACTCGCACTCTGAAAGCATCGGGGGGATCAACGGGCAGAAAAGTTAGGACTCACCGGCATTGTCTGGCTTCCGTGCAAGGCATTGATGGCCGCCTGGGCTTCCGCATGCGAGGAATATTTCACAAACGCACAACCTGCAGGGGAGAGAGAGAGAGAGACAGAGCACACAATAAGAACAGGCTTCAAGTGGAGCAGGGTGGTGGGGGTGTAGGAGGATTCATACTCTGGTGCGTTTGGGGTCCGCTTTACCAAACCGCTTCCCAAACTTACTTCTGCGGCTTGCTGTCTTTTTAGACAACCTCCAGTCCGGTCAGATTTCTACGAATCAGAACTTTCACTTTAAAAAGATGTAATTCCCATCAGGGTTGCAGTGGATGTTCACTGGAGTGGGGGTTGGCGGCTCTTGATTGGGAAATACCTGGGGATTTCAGGGGTGGCGCCTCGGGAGGGTGGGATTTGGGGAGCACCACAGAGCCCACTCTTCAAACCAGCCATTTTCTCCAGGGGAAATGATCTCTGCAGCCTGGAGATCAATGGTCATTCCCAGAGATCTCCAGGTCCCACCTGGAGGTTGGCAAACCTCCCTGGAGAAGGCCATAAGGACCACATCGCTTCCGTCTTGCTCCATCTCCATATGTTCACAATCTATTTCTTGGCCCACTTCAAGGTGCTAGCGTTGATCTTTAAAGCCTTATATACTTTGGAACTGGCATACCTAGGATCGCTGGCCCTTGAAAACTGGCGGGAGGCTTGGTGGGGGGGGTGGAGACAGGAGGGAACGGTGTCATGCAATACCGCAACATCATCTCCAGCCAGAGAAACCCCCCCCCCCAAAGTGATATCACACAACACTGTAGGAACCTCCCTGGTTGTTATGGTCTTTATAACAGACAATGGTGTTGTGGGCCAGCTTGACCGGCCTGAGTCCAGTGTGGCTGAAGACTCTTCAGAAGAGGAGTCACATGCAGCCAGCTCTGAACCAGCTGAAGGTAGTGAATTAGAGATACAGAAGCCTCAAGATTCATTGCCGGCTGCTGACCTTGACCCACCCATGCCTAGCTCTGAAGTAGCCGACAAAGCACAGCTGAAGAACAGTAGCCCACCAGGCGCCCCCCCCCATTAATTGAACAGGGAAGGGAAAAGCTCTGGCAAGACTTAAGGACACACAGACAGAGTGCTCACCTCTTGGCTCAGGGAAAAAGCTCCAGCAAGATTTAAGGACACACAGACTGCTTGCCTCTTGGCTCGGTGACAGCTACTTCATGATAGCAGTTCTGAGTAAGTGCAGGAGCACCTCAGAGCAAATGGCTGTAAATCAGGCTAGTTAAGGATTCTCTCCTATATAATAAAATCGTTTTCATCTTGCAAGATTCCATTCACTCCAAAATCAGTTGGCTCCATGATGTGTCAATCACAAGGTGTCTCTATCTACTGGCTGTGTTGCCTGAGTTTTCTCCCACCCACTGCAGCCTAGGCCACTCATCTCTGATTGGGCCAGCGTTTCAAGGTCATTTGCATATGGAAGCTGATTGGACTTCACTCCATTCCGCACCTCAAATTCCCCCCCCCACGAGACAGTTGCAACTCTCAGTTGTATATGCGTCCTGGTGTATTCTGAGGTAAAATATATCCTCACTCACAACACATCACTTCCCCTTCAAAAGAAACAAACCCCATAACACAACCATGCCACACCATAAAAAAGACAGATCACACCACAAGCAGAATACCACGAGGCAAAAAATGATAGGAAACGGTGCCAGCAGTCACCCCATTACTGCCACAGATATGTACCTGAGAGCACTTCAGTGGATGGTGTGCAGGTCCCAGGTTCATGTTATAAAAGCTGCCTGGGGGATTATGGACCATTCACAGACTTTCTATCTTAACATACCTCACAGGGTTGTTGTGCAGATCATATGGGGGAGAGGAGAATGATGTCAGCTTAGGACTGCCAAGCCGCGGTGGGGGATCCGCATGTCTTCACAGGATCCCTGCCACGGGGGACAGCAATACGCGTTGCACCGCCGTCGCCAGGATATGACGCTACGCGTCGCTCTGGCAACAGGACTCCAAACAGCCCTGTTGCCAGAGCGACGTGTAGCGTCACATTCTGGCGCTGTCCCCTGCGGCAGAGATCCTGTGAAGACGTGCGGATCCCCCGCCGCGGCTTGGCAGCCCTATGTCAGCTGCTTTGGTTCCCACTGCAGGGAAAGACTGCCCTTTCCCTAGGCAGAGGCTGCGCGGGGGTGTGTGTGTGTGTAGACCTGAAGACAGACAGGCTGATAAAGGCAGGCTGATGGTTGCCTGGAAAGGACATAGGGTTGCCAACTCCAGGTTGGAAACTTCCAGGATATTTTATAGATGAAGCCTGCTGAGGGTGGGGGTCTGAGGAGGAGGAATACCATTGTCGCCAATCTCCAGGTGACAGCTGAAGAGCTCTTAAAGCTCTGGTGCTAATTCAAAGTGCTGGGGATGTGTTGCATTCTGAGAGGGGAGGAGATAAAGTTGCCGACTCTTGATTCTGCTTTTTGTACCTGCCTGACCTTGCTGATCAAAGACCTTGGACTGGCTTGACTCTGCGTTCCTGAACAACCCATGAATGCTGACTGTTTCAAAACTGGTATTTGACCCCTAGACTGGACACTTTACGGTAGTTTAGCTCTGCTGCCTTACTCTGCCTGTATCCCAGGAGAAACAATGACTGAGGGGTGACATGATAAGAGGTTTATAAGATTATGCATGGGATAGAGCAGGTAGAGAAAGCAGTACTTTCCCCCCTTTCTCACAAGACAAGAACTTGTGGGCACTCCATGAAATTGCTGAGCAGTTGGGTTAGGACGGACAAAAGGTAGTCCTTCTTCACCCAAAGAGTGATTAATACATGAAGTTCACTGCCACAGGAGGTGGTGGCGGCCGCTACAAGCATGGACAACTTCAAGAGGGAATTAGATAAACATATGGAGCAGAGGTCCACCACTGGCTATTAGCCACAAGGTATAGAGAGGAACGCTCGATCTGGGGCAAGTGAGGCACTGAATTCTTGGTGCTTGGGGGGCAGCAACAGTGGGAGGGCTTCTAGTGTCCTGGCCCCACTGGTGGACCTCCTGATGGCACCTGGTATTTCTGGCCACTGTGTGACAAGAGTGTTGGACTGGATGGGCCATTGGCCTGATCCAACATTGGCTTCTCTGATGTTCTTATGACAGTTGGAAGAGAGACTGGAGTCTTCACACACTGTCAGTAGACAATGATAGAAGAGGACAGAGCAATATCCCTCAGGGGGAGGAATTCCATAATTTTGGTGTCATGACTCAAAAGGCGCTCACTCGGGTTGCCACCCATGTAGCCACCTGCAATGCTCTAGGAATCCCTCTGATCTCTATGGTTTTCATCATAGATCACTCTGATCTCTAAGAAGAAGAAGAAGAGGAAGAGATTGGATTTATGCCCCGCCCTTCACTACCCAAGGGAGTCTCAGAGCGGCTTACAAACTCCTTTCCCTTCCCCTCCCCACAACAGACAACCCTGTGAGGTGGGTGGGGCTGAGAGAACTCTTGACAGAAACTGCTCTTTTTCAAGGACAGCTGTGCCAGAGCTTGTGACTGACCCAAGGTCACATCAGCAGGTGCAAGTGGAGGAGCGGGGAATCAAACCCGGTTCTCCCAGATTAGAGTCAGCACACTTAACCACTACACCAAACTGGTTTTCACCACAGCGATCGGAGAGGAGGATTCCTAGAGTGTTGCATGACACTTCTGGTTTTCCCCGCTGAACATGATGCTGTGTTGTGACACAGTTCCCCTCACTCCGTTTGCTCCCATTGTTCATAAGAGCAGTGGTGGGAGTTTGGGAGTGAAGGACCAGCGGTTCTGAAGCACAGAGAGCCGCTCTCCGTTGGATGACACTGTTCCTAAACAACCTGTCTCCAATTTTTCTGCTGCATTTCATTTCACCTCCTCCTGAGCGGCTAAAGCTCAGGTCACCTCCCCCACCCCCTTTAATGCAACTTTCTCCTCTCATCCATTACAGTGATGAAGATTTCTCTCTGCTGTGTTACAGAAATGATGTCTGTTCACGTTGCCGCCTGTCAAAATAGCAGGTGACATATGAACTGCCTCTGCAGGGCTCGGTATCATCGGCGGCGGCTTGCAGGTGATGATAGAATACAAGCAGATCAATATTTAATGCCAGGTGAAGGATGGCTTTCCCGTCCAAACTGAAGGGAAGACTCTCCGTTTAGGATGGAGCCCATCGCCGTTGATTTTGGAGCTCCGTCCCGGGAGCCGTCTCCCACATTTAGGGCTGCCAGCCTCAAGGCGGGGCCTGGAGTGACAACGGATCACGAACCAAAAAGGGCTAAGCTAAACCATATATATAAAAGTACAAATATTGATTAAGGTGTACACCAATGTTCCTTGTAAGCTGTGGAGTCTTGTGAGCAACAATTCTACTTTGTGAGCCACTGGCATTAAAGTTGTGAGCGAGTGATTTGGCTACTGCATAAATTAGTCTGCTCTGGAGCCCTCCTTCCTGAGCTAGGGCAAAAATGTGTGAGCCGGAGGCTAAAAACCCGTGAGCTGGCTCACACTAACTCGCTTAGAGGGAACACTGGTGTACACATGTTAAAAAAATGTCCTGATTAAAAATTACTTTGTCTAAGATCAGACTATAAAAGCTTATCCACTATACATACATATGATGGGTAAATACTTTACAACTGAAGACCAAACGCATTTCGGCCCCTAAGGGCCTTCCTCAGTGGTCACTATTATCTATATATTCTAGATACGCATTCAAAGACCTGTTACAGAGTTTTAGTACACATATAATTAAACCGGATGTTGTTTCCTGAAATTATTCAAAGAAAAATAGAGGGGGAGGGGGAAGAAAAGAGAAGAAACTTCATTATTCTGTCCAAATGTATAAAAGAAATTATTATTGAATAAAAAATGATTCTATCAAAGATAAAGTTACCTTGTATACTTATAATTGGACTCCTGGTATTAGTGATGGGCCATAGGTATAGCCATATCACCCCCACAACTTATTCTGAATTAAAAAGTGAAATGAAATTGTAAAAAAAAAAAATTGTCAGTCAAATTGTATAATTAATCTCACCCAAATTGAAATG